TTTATTTTTCTTTTGACTTATAAACTTCTCTCTTCTTTGTATACTCCACGTCATTGCTTTCAACCTGTTGTTTACTTTTTGTTGGTTTTTTTTCTCTTTTGATGTTATGAATCCTCGGGATATAACGCCCAAACTACACCCGGCATGTGAGATTCTTGGTTGAGCCATTATCTACTCCCATTACTTGATCGAATTGACTGTTCATATGTAATATTCAATCTTCTCGTGTCATCTCTTCATGTCACATGCTTTAGTCTTCTTTCTATTCCAACTATGTATCGTGAACCATCTCGCTCTTCTCTCTTTATTCATGTCTCTCCTATTTGCATATATAAACGTGTAGTTTTGATGTAAATGATACGATTAACGATATGAAGAAGCACAATAAAGCATAACTTCATCAGTACTAGCAACTCTTCTATCTAAAATCGTCACAGCTATCGATTCAAATATGATGTGTGCATTATGAATTATGACCTGAGGCACTAGAATACTTAGTTACCAGCATAGTTCTTAACTTAACTTCAGAAACTGTTTACTTATTCACTCAAGGTGAGTATTAATTTGGTACGTCAGTGAAATTATTAAAATACAATTAATATTAATACATATGATATTAGAACGTTTCTAATATTGCACGTATCATTTCAGAATGTCACCAATAGGCGTGGTCATTGAAATGAAGGTCATCGATTTTCGACGATATGATTTTCGGCAGAGAACATATTGATCAAATTGACTTATACGTTGTCAACGCAGTTCGTGAAGATAAAACTTTTGTTCGCCTTTAGAAGATTTTAGAGCTGGCATTTTCAAATAAGAGAATATCGGAAAGCAAATCATATAGACTGATTGGTAAAAATAAATTTGCACAAACTCATTTATCTGTGTAAAAAGATAATTGATTTAAGGGTTCTTAATAGAAGAGGTACATATTGTATAATGTTTCTTTTTGTATCTTTTAATATATCGATCAAATTATGCAATAATCATACGTTGCTTCGAATTAAAATTAGTTAAGGAAGTTCATATATCTGCAGATTCACTTATCGTTGTACCTTCACAGTCTATATAATCTGCAACTTACTTAGAAGAATCTTGAAAGATAAATTTACTGTATTCATTCTGGCTGTTATATTAAATTGTTTAATTTATTTTCTCAATGAATGATAACAGAAATAGTCTTACATTGTTTGACAATATTTCAATCATTTCAAAGATATTCTTATCAATTTTATTCATTAAGATCTATCACATTTGATCATTCAACAATCCATTTATTGATACACGTATAATTTAAAGATAGATATCGAAAACTCTTACTAGCAAGCATGTTTATCTCGCTTGTACAAATGTAGATGACTTCAAAGAAACTATTGACTTACATTTCTAAAAAGAAACAACAATGTTATTTATTCATGAACATGAATTCTTTCAAGATATTTTCGTACTTGTGAAGGAAATTCCATCCTTATCATCTTCATGATCAGTATCGTCGTCATTTCTATTCTATTATGGTCAACCAGAAATCACTTCGTCATTATTAATGTTCCATTAAATGATCGTTTTTTTTCTTGACTATATATTAGATCATTATGATTTACATAACAACCAATACCAACAATCGTAGCGAAACTAAGAATAATTATCGAAACAAATAAAATTGATTTGATTATTTCAATAAAGTTTCTTTTCTTATAGATGAAAAATAATCCTAATCTTTAGTAAAATTCTATGGAGCATCTCCATGATTATAACTTGCCATTTTCAATAAGTTTTATGTTGAATGCATCGAATAATTTTCAAGATGAAATTCCATTAGTTAGCTGATATGGACTTGATCATAAAATTATTTCAATATATTTTGTTAGTTGGAATATATAAGGTGGTAACTAAATAAATAATAATTCATATTTTTAACATACAACGAATCGATTTATTCACGCTTTGAAAAAGAACTATCATGCCTAAAGCAAAAATAAATATAATAAATGTGTAGAGAAAAACTAAGTATTTGAGGTCTTGTATGTATTCGCATAATGGTCATACAATATTTTTATCGTGGTTTTGAATGAACATGGACAAAGTAATCAAGGCTATTTTTAATCGTATTGATTATCAAGATGATGAAAATTTGGCAAACATATAAAATAAAAACATCATTGAATAATAATACAAATTAATTGTGTATATCTTTGTGTATACATCATTCTTTTAGACAAACTCGATGACATTCGAGTTTCACTCGACTGCAAAATGCAGTGCAAAGTTTCACATGTCAAATATCGGAAAAATCTATATTTTATAAAAAGTGAATAATCGTCTTGACGATCTGCCATAAAACGTTTCTCCCCGAATGATATTAAGATTTTACTAGAATCAGGTTCTTTTATCATTGTAAATTGGAAAACATAAAACACCTATCAACTAGTTAATCAAAAATAAAATGAAAGTGAAAAGTAGCCATCCGAAATGTATCTCTAAGAGAACTCTATTAATAGGTACCAATATGTTTCTAATGAATACTACTAATTCAGCACTTGATTATCACTCTGATGGATTATCTATGATCAACTGTTTTCACAAATGTTTTTGATAAGAGCAAAACTAGTACTAAGCAACTGTTATTGTTATCATCATTTTAATTATTTTGAAGCTTGGAAAACAACAAAGTAGACGAAAATTTGTCTTTCTAAGTGGTTTTCTCTAAGAAACGAATGGTATAGATTTGATCATGAAACTTTATCATCATGTGCACACCAGCATTTTTTTGATATTGCGTTTTCGAGATCATCACAACCGAAGATAATAAATTTTCATATGTACATCTAGTAAATAAAAGAAAACTGCCAAATAACAACATAAATTCGGTGTGAAACGACCTCAAATTTTTGACAATAGGTTTTGAATTAACATGAAAACGATAAACAATTTCATCTAGAATCGATCTTGTTGTGTTGAATGGTTTCATTATCGCTCTTGTTCAAAACAGCTAGCTGAAGACTAGCTCAATACTTTTAATCATGTCGGATAAAAGATGGCGGCCCAATTGTCAAAACCACTATCTTGCAGAATTCACTGAAGATGTAAAAAAAAAACTCAGATTGAAGATTCAAGAACTTTTGTATCATCTCAAGATAAGAGTCTCTCTGACAACGTTCGAATGAGTTTCTAGCGACTAGCTAGTCTCTGCATCGTCGTGACACTATGTCAATATACTTGAAATATAGAAAATAAAATGATGTTCTCTTCATTGTTTTAGTCGATAAGCCATCTTCCGATTCCACAAAAAAAGATAAAAATCAATTGATAGAAAGTTCTATTGTTTACTTATGATAATAATATTTTATAAGCATGTCTCGTTGAATTTCAATCGTCTTGCTAAGCCAATATAAGCTAGTTTATTTGCAACAGGTGACACATGACGAATGATATACTTTTATTTCCTTATTGAACAGATCAGACACAGTTGAGAGACTTCACTCTTAGCTCATGCGATAGAACATTTTTTGCTGTATAAAATTGTGTATTTCATTTAGAAAATATATTCACCATACCTCTGTAACGTACGATTGAATTTTTTTAGTCTAACAGTCGATACTGCAACGAACAGCATCAAATCAAATTTCTTTTGCACTAGCACGAATTAATCAATTAAAATTTTTTTACTGGTTACTTTGTTTCAGGCCGTCTAACTATACAATTCGCCTCAAATTACGTAATCAAAGGGATTAAGATCAAAGCCGTACGGTGGTCATCGGAATGTTGGTCAAAAATCTTACAAGTAAACGTTTGCAGCAACAATAAAATCGGTCCGTGTGTTTTAGGGCTGCATTGATTTCATCTTTGATTCGCACGATATTTAAGCGTGATAATCAATGTGTGGCCGTGTCTCATCTTGTTGATATGTGAATTCTTTTCTAACTAATTTCAGAACATCTTACAATGTGATGGGAAATATTTCATCAATATAACGTTCATGAGTGATCGTACTTTCCTTTCTTGATAATAACAGAACGCATGACACCATCGTAATACACTCCTAAGCATACCATGAGAAAATTTTCTGTTCCGATAGGTTTCTTCCCTCCACATCAGCTTGTTGCCGATTCCTAGACCAAGTCCTATCATTTTAGCGGTGGTATACGATATCGATATTAAATCAGTTTTTACCAGAAAAACAAACTTTCCTGAATAAAGATTTTTGTGATATTTTTTCTGACCTATATGAGAAACGAGACTCTTTTCTTTTGTTTTTGTGCATTTGGTAGCTTCAGAGCAATAAGTTTTAAAAACGATTTGAATCCGAGCCATTTTTAGGTAGTTTTTACATGGTTGATCTTGAGACATCACACATTTTGGCGCATTGTTTTGTTGATGTTTTCTTTTTGATGTGAAGACGATAGTAATTCACCCGATGAATCATTCTTTTCATTTGGTATCGAGTAGTAGTTATTTACAAATGTATCGCATCAGATTCTTTGAATATTTTGATCGATCTGTAGATCCTCGATTTCTAATTTCACCAGCAAATAGTTTCGAAATCTATGAACTAGTTAATCTTTGTTCATGTAATTGCAGTAGAACATGTTGTATGTCTTTACTGTTCATGTTTTTTTTGTCAAACAAGGAACTACCTTAATTTATAATATACTTGGTTTTGTAGAGCGAAAACAAATTTCCTGAGTGATGGTTGTACTACTCAAGAAAATAAGAGAAGTGTTCCATTTTTTTGATGAGCTACCCATTATAATATTTAGAGTATTAATGAATGGCGATTTGGCTTTTTTTGTAGTCAACTCATGGAGTGAGCATGCTTAGTTGTCAATATGAACATTTGATCAATATGTTTGCTAATCTCTACTTTTCATGTTTTATGATCCCGTTTAACAAACAATTTTCTGAGATTTTTGTTTGCAAATTAAAATCGGCTCTTCTATCATGCAATAGTTTATATTTATATAAATTGTTTAATCATACTCTTGTATTTCAAAGCAATAATGTCCAGTAAAAAGAAACAAGAAACTCGTTTTAGTCTCAATTCTCCTGTATTAACTGTTAACCAAGAGGTAACATATGTATTTCAACACTTATTATTTAATCATACATTTTATTATAGGCAAATACAGTTTCAAGTCGAAGTCGAACTGAAGCTGAAAAGTCAGTAATAAAAACACGAAAACCTCCACCAGTTCTTCCGAAATTATTACCATATACACCACCTGATGCACTTATGTTTCGTTTATTCAATGCTATTCAACGTAGAGCATGGATACGAGCAAGACGATTATGCTATGAACTTATTTTATGTGATCCATTAAGAAAAAATTATCGTGATCTTTATTATCAAATTGATCAAATCATCACACTTATTGAAAGACGTGTTCGTCCAAAAGCCGCACTTATTAATCAAGTGGCAACTGCAAGTAGAGCAACAACTGCAAGTAGTAATAGTAGTAGTAGTGATGAGGAACAATAATTCAACGATAAACAGACTATAGAAAGCATGTCGGATGTCATTTTTCTTTTAAAATTAAAAGACAGAAATCTTGAGTTGTAAATGTTTGAAATTGTTTTATCTGCAAATAAACTTCATAACAAGACTGAAAATATTTATATTTTAGCAAAAGCAATCATATCATCAAAATAAAATTCTACTATAAAAAAATATTAGAATCTAAATAAAGTCTATGTTGACGTGATGAAATTTTTCTTCGTAGGTACTCTAAGAATATATTTGATGTATTATGACGAGTTTCATTACTTTTGTTTTTTATTTTATTACTTTTACAATTCAATCAAATGAAAGATTGCAATAATTGCGAGTTTCGATATGTGTTGGTTCTTAATTTCTTAGGTAAACATTATTTATTATGGTTTGTTGGTGAAAAATAAATATTTTTTTTCGTTGAATTTTCAAACGAAAGCACACCTGTGTCAATACCTTACGAATCATTCCAAAAAAGTTATCAAATCATGCCATGGGTGAAATACCTCAACGATTTTAATATAAGCGAAACGAATTGTATAATGCAAAGGGACAACAAATGAAATGAAATATTTTCAACTTTAATGTATAACCAATTCATTTGTCTAGTTTTAGTAAAATCATCAGATGCAGAAAGAAACATAAATATTTCTTCATCATCACAATAAATATAAAGGAGTCTTATTATTAACATAGAAGGCAATCAGATCGTTATGTTTCAATCAGTTCTATTCAGTTAGTATGGTTGATTTATTAGCGATGTGATTAAAAAGCCTAGCTAGTTTTCCGTTGTAACAACACTGTTAATCTTCTTTTTCGTAATACTATTGAACTTCAACATATTCAATCCTACACGGTCTATGCTCCTATTAGATTATATAGCCTTCACCATTTCTAATGTTTATTCATGCTGAAACAAAAATATAATAGTTTCAATTACTCTAAAAATCGATCATCATATAAATCATTAACACATCCTTAACATGATGAAAACATTAGTAATATAACAAACATGTCTACACTCTTAAAGAATGACAAGTTCCTTGATGATACAGAAATAATCATAAACAAAATGCAAAAATCTTGAAAAATTTTATGATTCCACAAATATCAGAAACATCAATGGAAAAAATATAATGATAACTATGTTGTTTCACACTTAGGTTAGAATGTCATATGAACTTTGAGAGAAATGGTACATAAAAGAGTTTTAAAAATCGATAATAGAAACTGCTATAATCTCATACATATAAAAGACACTAAATTCATCAGAATCTTCAAGTATCTCCTATTTTTTTTATAATTGTTAAACATGATTTTTTGACTTTGAAACAGACTCATTTCAGTCTCTAAACAAAAATTTTCACATCAAACAGGTTCATATAAGCATAAATTATCAGACTGATGATCCTGAATTTTAACGAATCTCAACAGACAAATTCATTTCAACACATTTATTTGCGTCACAATATACGGATAAAAACAGGTTATTATTGAACGTAGTGAAACGCATTCAAGAAAATGTGTGTTAAAGCATGTATTCTAAGCTGATCCTTCCGTATTAATACACATTGTTGCCTTTGAATGCAGTAAAACTAGTAGCATATGTCCAGTAGATAGGTAAAACGCATAAGTCTAGGACTATGGTACCTGTTTTAAGACCGTCAAATATCTCAAACGCACTTTTTTATGAGTTTAGCCTGTCTGAATGAGGAAAGAACACAGAGTGAAATAAAGCTATATTCTAAAATATCAAATATTACATATGTATTTGATAAAAGGTGAGAGAAAGTTTAGTAGACTATTTTTTCAGCATTATAAGCTTCAAGAAACGATAGACATCCTTCAACATAATTCTTGGCATATTTGAAGATTTTGTTCAAGACTACTCAGTATTTTGCACAATATGAAAATTCATGAGTCTAACGAAAAGATAAGACTATAACGCAAAAAAGAAGATTTCAAAAAACGAACATGCAATACGTAGCATTGCTTGTTCATCTCATCTTGTTCATATACATTTCTTTAACACTAACAACTCGATTAATCAGCAATGTATAAGAAAAATCACAAGGCAACGAACATTTAGAACAGTAATGATATTCATTTAAAACAACGAAAGTTGTCAACCAATATTCTTATTATTGTTCATTGTTACAGGAAAAAACCAGTAGATAATGATTCCGAAATGGCTACATGTAGCAATGAGAAATGTTCATACATATGTCAATACAAAGATCGATATGCCGATGAAGAAAAAACAAAAACAATTCGATAAAGGATTGAAAACAGCATTTTAGAAAAAAACAAGAGAAAAAATGCGTTTGGTCAGTTTTGCATACGTTTGTTTTCATCATCTTTTATTCATTTAGATTTTGATATTTCAAACAAAATTATTATTATGTTTAAAAATTGTAATTACTATTCTACTCTTTTAAAATAGATACAAGAACATAATCGATTAGATACTTCACATCGGACAGTCCTCAAACAGTACTCATTTTGAGATATGAATTGTATATGATAACTTCATAAAATAAGTTCTTCTCTGCATATTAGCTGAGAAATCACTTAATAGAATTAAATATTCAGTGATTTTATCTTTTGAAAAAATTCGAAAAACAAAGTTTAACAAAATGAGATCGTTGATTTGTCTAGATTCTTCATTTTGTTTTTTTTATATCATTCAGACTGTTCTTTATCGAAAACTGTTTGATCTATCGAAATTTTTCCCATTATTTCTAATGATGATTTATTTAATTTTAATATAAATATTTGACAAACATCATTGCTAGAAATACACATTAATATCATTCTAGAAATATACAAAAAAATTGATACCTGAGAAAACACTTACAAATATGACTTATAATAAGATTTTATGTATAATGAAAAAAAAGTTATTTTCTTATGGAGTAAATATATCATGTACTTGTTCAATAAGTATTTCAAGTAAACGTTGAATTGGTTTAGAATTTTTTAGTCCAATCATTGGATCAGGATTTTCTGAACGCATAATTGTTGGACCAAATACAATGGCTAAATTCTCTATTGTCATTTGATTACGTATTGAATGATGAGAAACTTTTAATAGATGTTCAGATAAATATTTTAATGTATAAAAGTGAGCTGGTGGTAAACGACGAATTATTGTACGAATTGTTGCTACAGATATTGTTGATGGACGAAGTTCAAGTAATTGTGTTTGAATGTCGAAAGTAACAAGTGGAATAGGTAATTGTCTTAGATATAATTTTAATACACAAGTTATTGCATGAATATCAGGATAACGTTCTTGAGATAAATCAACATGATCACAATCACGTTCAAATGCTAATTTAATTTCTTCGATAGTATCAGAAAATCCTGCAATTCGATAAAGACCTTCAATATCAAGTGCATGTGGACGTGATTCAATTTCATTAATACATTTTTCAAGTACAACTGGTGTTAATGAAGCTACTGATGAGGCTGGTGTTGTGGCTTTAATTAGTGTTGTCAAATCAACGCCAAAAATTGATTTTAAATACTTCATATGTGGCACCTAAATCAAAAAAAACTTTAATTAATTAAACTAATTTTGAACATAATCTTTTATTTAAAATAGCATTTCATGGAAAAATTCATCGCAAAATTCTAAATTAGAATGCGAGATTTCTTAAACATAAAGATGGTTAAGTCATCTATGAACATTATCATACCTTGTAATTGTCAAATATTCTTTGAAAAAATAAATATATAGTTGAAAGAATCAGTATTTTATTAAACAATACATGTATACTCTTTTATCTAATGTTGGATAGTTTCAATGATCAAATCAATAACAGTTGATATCCTCACCTACATTGAAGATAAATAAGATTAAGCTCAAACACTCGACAATAGTAATAGTTCGAGATCTGCGATTTTCAGAAATCGAGGGAAAAAAACCTCCGAAAGTTTTTTTTATCTGATACCGAATAAGAAGACTAAATTATTTTCAAAATCATCATCTAAAGAAATTGATCAAAATTATATCAAAACAGTATTCCGTTTCGGTGTAATTTTGATTTTGACATGTATATCAGATAAACGGACTTCAAATCAGTAGTTCAAGATACGATTCAAGTGATAATACTCTGTTATTTAAAATTTTTGATAAAACATAATCGCAAATCTATTCAATCAAATCATATAGAATTTTCTTGAAATGAAATATCGTTTTCATACAATTTGTCTTGAATATTGTCGAAAAATGATATGTTTTAAAATCATTCCGACTCGTATAGTATCAGACAAAAAATGTCCGAAGTTCTTCTTTTTTGATTGATCTGAATTATAGGTCACTACTTACTATGATTATCGAGTTATAAAGTTTACACTCATCCTTCTTCTAGTTTGACGTGAACATAAGTACAAGATAGTTTCTGTTCGTCAACTATTTAACTACTTACAATTATTAGACGATAACAAATAATTAAACAATGCATATATATCGAATATCACTTATATAGTATTGTGATGTGTGTAACGTCTTGTGAATAATATTATTAGTGAAATACTATATATCAGTTATTTATATGCCGAAACTACATAGTATATCGGTTTTATTATCTCGATCCTCGATAGAATATTGAAATAACTTACACAATCTTGTGGTACTTTTTCTGAACAACGTTTATGTGCTTCAAAACCACAATCAGCACATTTAACACCTTGTTGTACAAGACCCCAAAGAAAATTTGCACAATAATCACACCAATGTGGTCCTTTAAATGAATGCATTTTAAAATTATGTGCTTTTTCAGCTTGCATTAAAAGTATACGATCAAAAAATAATGGATTTGTCGATGGTAATTTTCGATTTAGATTATTATTAGTATTATTATTATTTGTTGGAGATATTCTTGATGATGAATTTTGTTGTATCATAGGTGAATTACTTGTTGAAGATGAACGATAATTAGATACTATATGATCTGTATTTATCGTTTGAGAATGACTTATTGGATGATTTATTTCATTGTGTGTCAATGACGATGTATCCTTGATAAATAAAATTAAAATAATAAAAATTTTTCATATTCAAAATAAAACAAAACTATAGGTTTTACTTGATTGAATGTATTATTTTGTGTTTGTGCTCGATGTAATAATTGTGCTTTATATTGTCCGTATGGACTTTCATTAGTATAACATTGTGAATCACATGCCATCAAAGCAATATAATCACTTGCTTTTGATTCTAAATAAAACGATATTAATCCATCATGTACAAGATCATTTAATGTATCAAAATGTTTTTCTCCAACATAATGAGTTGATGTTTGAGAATCAAAATATAATTTATAATTTTTAACTTCACCATTAAATTTAATAGCTAATGTATATGAATCAGGTGGATTTAATGATTCACGAACAAGATATGAACCATCAATAGATATTGACATTAATTGATCAGCATCTGTACGTGATAAAAGACCATGAAATTCTAAACCATATTGTCTTGGACGACGTGATTGTGATGTTCGACATATAATTGGATTTGGTTTTGGTGCTTGCATTTGTAAATTATATAAATATGATTTCCATACTGGCAAAGAACTTGTTGAATTAGAAGAATTTGTTTGATATCGTGTTATAGGATCAAAAAATGTTGTTGTTGTTGATGATGTTATAGATGTTACTGATTGATCCATAAATGGTATGGACATCATTATTCTCTGGAAAAAATGAGAAAAAAAAACGGATGAATCTGACTAGAAATAATCAATCACTGTGAAATCAAAATAAAAAAGAAAAAGAGAACTGTTCTTGGTTTTTCTTTTTACAAAAAAATTTTAAAAAGTTAAGTATAAAGAAGTTGTTGAAGTTCACTATCTGATGGTATATATTGATATAAGTCCATATTAGTTGTTAATTGACTATGTTGTTTATTAGCTAAAGACAATAAAACAAAAATTAAGAATGAAAAAATTAATTATTGAAATAAAACTGACTTTTAAGAGAACGACGTTTATTTCGACGAAATAGATGATGAACAATACGATTTGTCATACGAGAAATCTGAGTAAAAAAAAAGTAGATACGAGTATAAGAATAGAAAAAATAGATTGACAAAAGAAATTACCGAAAATGAAATACAAGTAAGCTTAGATCTATTTGATAAAGATTTTGATCGAAAAGAATTATTTTGAAAGTCCCACCTAATATCCTCGAATATTTCCATTACATCGAAATATAAACATGATAAGAAAAAAACAAAAATATACATATGTACATGATGAGTAACTTTTATGTGGGTGGATGAATAATGAACGAACGAACAAATATTGACTAAGAATTGATGACTACTAACGTCCTCTCTTTCTTCACAGACAGGAAAAGAATATTATAAAAATTTCATCCATTGAAAAAGTCAATCGGCCAATTTGTTTTTATTATCAGGAAATCATTATCTACGTTTTCCAAATCCATTAAACTTTATGTATATGTGTATTTCATCTAACAGCACATCTGTCAGATTGATGAATTCAACTCTTTTTTATCTTCAATGAATCAATATGATGTTTATTTAAGTCTAATGTAATTTTATCAATAAAAGAACAGTTACTAAATCTGAAGCCAATCCTACGTTCGAGTTTAAAGTTGAGTGGAACATATAGGTAGTGGCATGTTTTCAATATATAGAGTAGGCTCAGAGTGAATCTATTGATGCCATTTATCTGAAATACAGTTAGCGGTTATTCTGTTCAAGTCACATTTTTGACTGTATAGAGTTGAGAAGATTCAGAGAAACTTCATAACTTACATCAAGAGACGTATACTAAAAGAAACATACAAACATTTATTTTTTTTTTTAATTTTAACGATCAAAAGAAGAGTTTTTGATCGACTTTATTGAAGAACACAATGATAGTGGAGCAGTAGTATTTAAACAAAAAGGACTTACAGTGTGGATTTCTTAAATGTGTCTTAGGCATATATGGTTAGCTACTTAAGGCAAAGAAACATTTGGGCAGTTTGTAGTTTATCTAACTCGGGTTTTCTGTGCAGTTCTTCTTCACTATTAACGAAAGAGTACTGTTTCAAGGTATTGGTAATATAGAACCTAACAATTAATCATACAAAATTGAATTTTTTCTCAAGAACGTTTTTAAAGTCTACTTCACTACGAAAATGCTACTATTTCCTAAGAAAGGCAGTAGTAGATTTTGATGTTCGTATAAGAATTTCGATATACTGTATAAATCTATTAATTGACTGAAATGAAAAACAGATGTTTGAGTCTATGGTAGGCTATGATATCTAAATCTAGGGTATTCTCCAGTTGAGACAGTCTTCAATGAAATGTGATGAAGGTTGAAAAATTAAAGCAACAAAAATTTTACGCCTAAAACTATCGACATCAAGACATGCAAAGCACTATTATAGAGGTTTAGTGTGATAATAACGCAAATAATTATAAGACTTTTCCATTTCAATTTACTCTTCTGTCCGAAGGTTGGACGCGTTTTGTATGTTTATCTAGTTTTTCTTGATATGTTACCAGATTATACTGTAGACATATTTGAATCAATCAATGCTACTCATGTTGCTCTTCACATATAAGCATTTAGTTAACGCATGAGATAATATTATATGAAGTGCAATCTACTTACTTAAATGTGAATTTTTAAGTTGAATAAAATATTAAAAAAAACGTTGATCGAAGTTTTCTATCAGTCATTGAAAGTGATGATTGAAATCAATCATTACTGAAACAGCTATAGATATGTTTATCACCAATAATACCTATCAATCGTTCTAGATTACATTAACTCTGGTGCAAAATTCAATCAGTTTTATTTATTTATTTATTTATTTCTCTATGGCGTTCACGTTTAATTATCATTATTTAAGATAATGATTTATCAACAAAATTCAGATATTGTACATAATTATGAGTAATATATTGCACACGAGGATCGGTGTAGATGTATAGGTCTTCTTTTTAACTACACCTACACCTTAAATCATATTTAATATTTCCATTGTCTAAAATAATTATGCAAGAACTTTTCAATCAATAGATATTAGCAAAGTAATTTGTTAAAGCGGATAAAACACGACAAAGAAGTAACAGATGTATTTATTCATTTGTTTGAATAGCAATGGAAGACGAGAAAACCAAAAGATCCGAAAGATTAAGTGTCAATCAATTACCATCATTGAAATGTAAACAACAATAAAGTATGAATTCAGTATAGCTACCATAAATTGGCTAGGCTCAAATTATTCGCACATGTACAGTTCTAATCAAAAGTAACCACCACGCCCCTTCGTCATGAAGTGCTATTATTCTTTATGATATCGAACTGATATTTTAGGTGTATGCGACAATAAACTCTGATCGCAAGTACTGATCCATCCTTCATCGCTTGACATATACTGAAGTTATGATTCACATATGTTAATTCTCTTATGAAGAACATATTCAACAAAAATATGTTCTCAAAAAGCTTTTGTTTGTCATTTTCCTATTAGACAAGCAGTAGTAACTGTTTTTTTTTTCTAGCATTAAAGGCAGTCTCTTATGTCTACTTTAGTATCACCAAAGCCTGTGATACATAGTCAAGATCTTAGAAAATACCACACTTTGAGATAGTGAACCCATGTCGTAGCATAAACTTGACTTGTTTCAGTCATACAGTTCCAGAAATTATAAAATCGACTTGTTGTCTCATAGAAACTTTCTACTGAAATGCTTAAAAGAATTGATCAAAGTCATTGTGGAAACGACTCATCTTACTAAAAAAGAACAACATTGGTTCTTCAATAGATACTCTTAATGAGGAGAAAGTATCTTAACTATTTTAAATTGATTTCTAAATTAATTCAGAGTAGTGATAGCTACGACCGTAACCTTCCAAATGAGTGATTAGACAAAAATATTTTTGCCAACATAGTTGATATAAGGTGATCACAAGAGTAAGATGATGTCTTCAACATAATTCTGGTACATGTGAACCAGTAAAGGAAGGGTTTGTACTTGTAATTAGGGTTTATTACTAAGTGTATGCATCCAAAATATCAGTTAAATGTCATAAGGAATAGTAGAATTTCTTGAAAGGCAGCTACTTTTGTTCGAGACTACATATATGCATATGGTTAAATGAAATTCCCAGAAGCAAAAAAATCAAGAATAGGATAGTTCTAATTATGTTCTTTTTCGCTGTCTGCGGAAAAGATCACTCGATAAACGGTAAAAAACATGATGTCTGTATATTCGTTTTTCACTGTCTTCAAATTATATCTTATATTTATATATGTAATTATTTATTATTAATAAGTTAGACAAGTCTATTGACATGATAAGTGTTTAATACAATTGAAATTCAATTAACATAAAGTGAATAATCAAGTCAACTTGCTCTTTTCACATCTATAGTTCAATAAATATTTAATTTCCATGTGTCTTTTTTAAATTTCCTTGAGTTTATCATTTATAATTTTCTCTGAATAATCCCACCATTCGCGAGCTAATTTATCATCCTTTGCATATTTATGAGATACTGGTGATGGCTGACAATCTGCATGATATTCACCTGGTCTAGCTTTATTCGATAATGCACAATAAAGAATTGTTTGTATTCCTTCTAATGGTGTTTTAAAAATTATATATCTTATTGGTTTGATTAATTTACGCATAAAATGATTCAAACTTAAATGTCGATCTAATGGTGTATTAACAGTTCCAGGATGTAATGAATAAGCACGAATATTATGCGATATTGAATAACGTCGTTGAAGTTCACGTGTAAATAAAATATTTGCTGTTTTACTTAACGAATAAGCAGACATTGGATGATATGTGTTTGGATTACACATTTGTTCATAATGTGATGCATCACAAGGTACTGGCCACATAAAATGAGCAGCCGAAGAAACATTAACAATACATGATGAATGAAGACGAGGTAAAAGAAGTTGTGTAAAATAAAAATGACCAAAATGATTTGTACCCATTTGTAATTCAAAACCATCTTTAGTTTTTGTATAAGGACATGCCATAACACCAGCATTGTTAATCAATGCTATAATTTTTGTATTTCTAAACAAGAATACATAATAAGAAACAAACAAAAACCATTGAATCAAAGAAAAACTAAAGAAAACTAACTCATTTTCATTTTTCATAAATTCTTCAACACATGTTTTTATTGATTTTAAATCAGCTAAATCAAGTGGATAACCAATAACTTTATTGGGCGATGGACTAAATCTTTTTACATCATTAATAGCATTAGCTAGATTTGTAAGACGAGCAAAAAGTATAACTCGAGCACCACGTTTTGCTAATTCAATTGCTGTTTCTTTACCGATACCACCAGCAGCACCAGTTATTAAAAATGTTTGTCCATCTAATTTAATTGTATGAATATCTGAATATTGTCCACCACGAGCAAACCATCGCATAAGTACAATAACAGAAATAAAATACAGTATAATATATATTAAACTCGAAGATATCCATGTCCAAATACAAATTGGAATAAGAATAGAATTAGCCGAAAGAATTAAAATAATAATTGAAGAAACAAAAGTTAACAATGCTTTTGCTTCTGGCTGACGAAGAAGAAACAACAACATATTACGGAATAAGTACAGATATTTTACACTAAATGTTCATCACTCTCATAATTTATCACCGATCAGGTATGTTTCGATAATGATTGGAGAGAATAGACAACTTAAAGGCAACTTTGATTTTAAATTGCTTCAAAGCGGCATCTTTAGACATAAGAAATATGTCACTATTTGTGTCTAAAAATATTTAGTTTCTTTTCAATTTATGATACATAAGCATAATAATAAGAAAAGATGAATTCAACGAATACTTTATTGATTAGTTGAATATCTTTACATCATTTTAAAACATATTCTAAGAATCTTTCAATAGAATTTACAGTGTCAGATAACGATTGTTGCATTGGATAAGACAACAGATTTCACGGCAAAAATACATAATCATAATTCACCGTTCACATACAAGTATCGATACATCACATAAAACACTTTATTCTTGATTAAATAAAACTGGAAAATACCAATTTTATTTATAAAGACTAATACCTATAAAATTCGCATGACTCATTCTGGTTCAATGAAACGATTCTTTTGTAATTAAACATGAGATAATCTTTAAATTTTTTTCTGTTACCATGTTATGAGAAAATTTACCAAGAATGATTATGCGTTGTCTATGATTATTTGTAATATTTAGACTATTAACTTAACTTTCATTTTCATTAGTGCTTACGATAACTAATTCAGCTCTTATATCATAATTATAAAACACACATAATGCAATTTACCCTTTTTTAAAAACCAGTTACATCAAACCTTTGCTTGTCTGAATAAATATTAAAAAAAAAAAAACGAGATTTTTTTCAAAAACTTTCATCAGTCATTAAATGTCCGTATGCCTCAGAAATAAAAGAAATATTGTTAAAATATATACTATTGAGAAAAAATAAATATAGTCAACTTATTATTGTTTATATATCGAATAACAATCTAAACATCTATATTATCAAATAAACTTCGAAATATAATCAAATCGTATTAGTAATAAACAAATCTTTTCGTTTATACACTCACAATATCTTTTCTTACAGAATTACAAAACGCTATTACTATCTCAAATAATTTTACCATGGCATCTTTTATATTGTAACTAATACTAGTCATTTGTTGAACAAGTACGACCATTTTCGGACTTACTAATACAATTATTACAGAACTTAATCTAAATGTATCATTACTTATCTATAGTTACTCATTATTGTTGAAAAGTAATAATAACTATAAGATATAGTTTATATCAATGAAGAAAGAAAAGATAATGCAGTACATCTGTTTATTGTTAAGTCAGCAATTTTCTGACGTCTAACTATCGTTACTTGATCGTGTACTTATTGTATCATATTAACAAATATGTTTCCTTGAAAAAAAAACATCCTTTTCAACTTTAAGACATGAAAACTAAGAATGATATCATGCACAAACCTATTTTTTTTATAGATATTATTTTCAGTGAAATGATAAATTAGTAGTGTTCATTGAGATTCAATTCACTTGGTCCTCAGCTGATGGAATAAAGATACATATAGAGACGCATCTAGGTATCAAGATGAATTAAGTAAAGTATTAGATAGGTACAACAAACGATTTGACTTATGGCACGGATTTGTTTCACAAAACTACTTCCGAATATGCTACACCAGTCTAATGAAGTTCAGTTTATACATGCAATGTTATTAGCCTTTCAATAGAAAATTGTGTCAAGTTCATTGTATTGTTATACTGTTGTGTCCGTATTCGTTTTTTTCTTTAAAACTCTTTCCAAAATATTATTTTTTAAATTAAATGATGATGGCATACAATGAATGAAAAAAATTCTTTCTAATTATTTATTCATATATATCGAATTAGTGCATTTCTATGAATGATATACGATCATAAATAGTAATACTTCGATTTTAGAAATTCTGTGCTCGAAATTGCAATATTTTAGACAAAAAACTTGAAATTAAAAACCTTTCAGTGTTTTATCCTTCGTTTTATTTTATGTTTTTTTTTCTTCATGTTCGGAATATAGCGTAGAATATATATATACATATAAATCGACAAAAAAATAGCATAGAAACCAATACGATTACGTACAATTACCTATATTAGCACTATTTCTAATGCAAAAAAAGAAGAATACATTAATATAAGATTATTCGAAGAATGTAATATTATGTTTAGAAACGTTCTCTAACTCTTGATAATTACTACATCACGTCTCCAAGTATAAGTCATTGAAAAACCGATCGAACCATTCAATAGTTTAATAACAATGATCATCATTTCTGAAAGCATCTTAGGCGAAACAAACATACTTGTCAACGACCGTAAATCGTCGTAGATTGACTTATTACATGACTCAGTATTACGATCATATTTTTTTTTTGTATCACATATGGAGAAATATGATCGTTTACGAAGTTTTTACACAAAGATAGTATATGATTTCCGTTTTACTCGGTATGTGGCTGTCAACGATCGTATTTCTTCGTATCACATATGAAAAAATATGATCGTAATACTGATGCACATAATTAACCAAAATACGGTTGTTTACGGTGAAATATTGAATGCAGACGATCCTTTCATAGTATCTACGAATTTCATATTTTTTAACCTGAAATATAACTTCTTGGTTAATTTGAACCCTAATGCATATGTATCTTGATTTTGTCATCCTACACAGTCATTTGTACGATAGTTACCAGAAGGTCATTTGTACAATAGTTACCATATGGTAACTGTAATATAGACAGACAAATACAGGTGAATTGTTGCTTCTAAACCCTATCCTTTTAGTATAGGGAATATTATTACAAACAATAACCAGAAGTAAATCATTATGTATTGAATCTGATAGACACTGCACTCGTGTAATTAGAAGGTCTGCATGGCAGACAAATTATGCCTAAAAACCATACTTATTCTCTCTAGAAGTACAAGTTCAAGTTGTCCTCTTCATAGTAATTAAATAGATTACTGATCTATTTCTTATTTAACAATATGAAACAGAAAGGTGAAGAAAATTAAAAATTATATAAATAAAAAAAAGAAAACTAGTTAATAGTCTTTGAAATAATATTTATTAATATTTTTTGACTTTTTCAGATACATGTTTGTCAGGCACATACATTTCTTTTTGATTCTTTTGAAGTGGTAGTCGTGTAACCATGGGCTTGGAAGCAATTACTTTTTGATTAAGTCCTTGATTTATATGAGCAGCTGTTGGGGTACGATTGGCACGTACTATGCTTTGTCTTGATGTCAATTTTCTGGTTTCTCTATTGATTAAATTGCCATTTACATTCTGAGTTATGTTTTTATTAGGAGAAGAACCATTTACATTATTAGGATGTTTTTGTCTTGAACTTGAATCTAATCTTAAAAGTGGTATTTTTGTATTCAGGTCGGGAACACTAGGATATTTTACACGAGATATTCTAACATGTTCACTTGCAGTAATTTTTTTTCTACTGTTTAATAAATTTTCCACATTATCTCTTGGTCTATAAAGATATTTAATTTTTAAATTTGGTAGACTATTATGATTGTCAATTTTTATTCGGGAAACACGTACAATATTGTTTTTAATCGTTGGTTGTTGATTACTTTTATAAACAGGTAATAGATTCTCAGTGGCTACACTAGAGATATCATCTGATGAACTTTGTCCATTTGAAGGTGTGTGATTATCATCATGTCTTCTATCAGCATTAATCATTTTTCTTTTTGTGACCACTAATGAAGAATATAAGTAAGCTAAATGTAAATCACACTGAAAGACCTTATCTATAATTATTACAATTGGATTAAAATGAAGGATGGAAATTTTGTTTTTTTTATGTCATGTATTCACTGAATGTTAAAAATAAAAAAATCCTTATTTCAGTAATATAATAGAATTAATCATATGTAAATATATGACACAAAGGAAACTTCATATTCTTTTCTCTTTTTTTTTTTTGTTGCAACTAGAAGGTAATAATAGCATCAATGAGAGTTCGCCATGGCTGTTTTTGTTTATAGAAATCATAAAAATGATTTTAGTAATTTCTTTTATGAATTTTCGATGACATCAAGAATATATTTTCCTTTCTACGATTATTATCTACATGAAAAAAAAAATGATGTATATAAAACATTTCTTTTGTAACTATGGTCATAAACTATTTTTTATTTAGTTTTAATTGATTTTCAAGATCATTTTGTAACAAAAAACCTATGCAAACTTTTTTCTGAATTTTATGCATGACTTGTAGGAAAAAAAATTCCTAATGAATTATCATATGTATTAAGCTTTTCAACTAAATTTACACATATATCTACAATATACTAGTCGACTATCATCAATACAAAATGTTTAATTGAGCGTATCTAGATTTTATTGTATTGTATATAAGCAAGAAACCTATGTATAGCATAAAAAATAACATATATGTTATATTTTTATTGCCGGAATATCTTTGCATAGACTAAAACTGAAACGAAGATATTGACAACAATTAAATAATAGTAAATCATATTTCCGTTCTATTAATAGTAGTTCATTTTGGCAACAAAAGAAATAGTTTTTTGTTCTTTTTTTTTGACGCTAATCCTCTAAATCTATCGTGTATAGAATGATGCATGAACGAACATTGAAAAAAAGAAGCTCTGTGTTCAATATCGATCAATAGTTTTCTTTTCTGTTTTTTCTTCGTTTTTTCTTTAATACTCTCGATTTTTTTTATGTCTCTTTCCAAATAATGAATACATAAACATATTTGTTCTTTTGTCGCTTATTTTCTTTCTTAATCTAAGAATTTGATCATGATTATAATAGAAACATCTCTTGCTTTATTCTCACTGTTTCTCTTGGGATAGATGAAGCGACACTTGATCATATCCTTTTGTTTCTCTCTCTCATTGTCATACAGTAGCTAGTAGCACAAAGTCATCACTTTCAACCGACATGCATTACATATTTTATCATGCAAACGAATTCTTTCGCTTTTTTCTACTATCTTAATCTATTTCATCTGTAAACAAAATGTCAATCAATGTATTTGCTGACGAGAACTAACTGCAACTTAGCTAATTATCGACATTAGTAAGTAAGTAAGTGACACAGAAGATTCTACATGTCACGGATATATATACATACACTTCAAATACAATATTCATCTTCTAATAAGAAAAATAGATACCAAAGTATGTCTTATAGTCAACAGTTGTTAGTGTATTTTATATTGACCTTCTTTTTTCCTATGATCTAATTGACCTATATATATATATATATGTCATATGGGACTTTTCAAGAAAAATATTTCTTTTCAATTAAAATGCATTTTTATTTTCATTCAACCATTTACTATCTCAATTCAGATAATTTTCTTCTGAAACTCATATAATATAAGTTAATTCTCATTAAAAAATCAAACGAGAACTAGAATTCATTGTATTCTTGATATAGAAAGTTCATTTTAGAGAATTTTAAATTTTCTAGGCGACTTATCAATGTCAATATTTATTTCATATCTCAAATTGAAATAGATTAATTATTGAGTAATTTTATAGAGACTATCCTGATATGTCAGAAAAAAATATCGAAAAAAATTTTTGTTCGATTGACAACTGATGGAAAGAAAAAGAGATATAACGAACAGACAAAACCAATGATAATAATGAGAACTATGTTTACAATATTATTAATAATTTTTTTTTGCGAGTGTCTGCTTTATATTATGTATATATCCTGCATGTCTCTTGTAGGAATGAAAAAGGACTTAAGTTAATATCAAGTATTTGTTCATCTGAAAACTTTCTTAATGTCGGTAAGTAATAAAAAACTATTTTTCTTATTATTAACTTATTATTATAATCAAAAATTAGTTAATAGTTTTTTTTTTGATCAATGTGAAAGAGATTAAAAGTTATAGATCTGTACTATTAAATACTAGATATAAACAGATTATATACTACTACAAAGAAAATCGTCAATAATTTATACTGTTTTCGTCATGTTATTTTATTGATGAAACTATGAAGACGACCTTGTTGTTAAATTCTATCAATGAAACAGATTTTATCTGAGTAGTTCCTAGAACATTAATATTAATTTCATACAGGTCATCCGTTCGCGTTGAGTCTTAAATATTTTAGTGGCATTCATCCATAAAATTGAGATGTCAGACATTCTTTATATATTGTCTTTTCATTTTGTTTCTACTCATTTATTTGAACGCTAGGTTTAAAAAAATGAGAAAATAATAAAAAACGGATATAAGAAAAATAATATATAATTATAATTTAATCAACGTAAAAGGAAATGCATAGGATATGAGCCAACAGTCATTTGACTAAGGAGAAAAACTTAAAATGCCTTCGTTAAATAATGAATAAACGAGTCAATTCTTTTGTTATCAACTAGGCAACATTTACAGGCTATATACATAATGAAAAAAAAAAGTCAAAAGAAGATTATTTGAAAGAAGTATAATTGTGCCTGTTAGAGAAGAATTATAATCATAGACGACTTATGGTGAATGATGACATAGTTTCTCAACAACATGTCATTACTCAGAGCTAAAAGGACGGGGGTGTACAAGAATGCATTCCGGATTCTTTTGATTTTCAAGGTTCAAACTAATTGAGTCATCTATAGAATGAAAGATCATGAGTTTCTTATTATTTTGATGATAAAATCGAAGCATCATTACTTGATTATAAGTTTTAAAAGGGTCTATTTTCAAAATATACTAAATCAGCAATTAGTTATTGACACTAGAGTGGCATATGAGCATTCGCCTGAAAGAAAGAAAAACAAACGTGAAGAGTTATTTCAAGTTTTTCTGATAGTTCTTTGTTCAGACTACGTCTTCATAATAGAGCTATTCATTTAAATTAATGTTTCGAGTCTGTTTAATCGAATAGAAATCTTCCATTACTTGCATTTTGAATCTGAAGTATCCAAGTGCATTTCATTTGTTGTTCAACTATTGTGTTAATGAAACTTCCTGCCCACACTTCGTTCATTTCGTATTCTATGGAGCTTTTCAAGCACTACAAAATGCACTACTCTTTTTTACGATTAGAAAACGTGGGCTGCATGTTGTTCACTATTCTTAAGGTTCAATTTTTAACGTTTTCAATTGATCCTTCATAGTTTTCAAGTAAAGAATAATACACATTTAACTTGAAATATATATTGAATTTGAAATCAATATAAAAGAATAAGTCGATCTATGTATGTGTCAAACTTTTTCTGCAACTTTTTTTTCTAATGAGATCATCAGCCGTCAAACCCCTCAGGAATGTGTGAAAAAATGAATTTAATCAAAAAAGTAATTGTAGCAATGAAAAGCAAGTTATAAAGTTATAAAATCTTCTTTAAAGACAAAAAAAAACACAGATGACTAAACAACAAAATAGTTCTTTTGATTAAATTCATTTTTTTCACACATCTTTAAGAACGTTGACGGCTGAAAATGTCACGAGAAAAAAAATTTGAAACATGTTCTGATTTCAAATTCAATATTTGTTTGAAGTTAAATGTGTATTATTCTTCGCTTGAAAACTGTGAAATATCAGTTTAAAAAGTTAAAAATTGGGTCTTAAGAATAGTAAACTATATATAGCCCACGTCTTCTGACCGTAAAAAAAAAAGTAGTACATTTTGTAGTGCTTGAAAATTTCTATTAAATATGAAGTGAAGTAAGTGAAAAGGAAATTTAATTAATATAGTACACGAACAAGAAATAAAATATGCTTGAGTATTTCACATTTAAAAAACAAACAATAGAAGATTTATCTAGGATTTAGTAAATTCCAAACATTAATTTAAATGACTGATTCTACTATGACGATTTAGTTCGAATAATGGGCTACTAGAATAAGCCTTCACCATTGTTTTTTTTTTCTGCGAGGCGAATGTTCGTATTACTGGCTAACATCAATAAAGAACTGTCCATTTAGTAAGTCGTGAAGATAAAGCCTGTTTAAAGCTGTAATGCAATCATAGTGATTAGGAACTCACGATCTTTCATTCTATATATGACTCAATTATAGTAGACCTTGGAAATCAATAGAAGCCAAAATGCATTTATGTGCACCCCCATCCTTTCTAGTATTTTTTTTTTAATAATAACGTGTTTATAGTAACACTTCAAAATAGAATTTTTCAATATTTGTCTTGCGAATATGAACTATGTTTATGGGTTTGACTAGCAATAAAACAATTATCTCAACTTCTATGTTTCTAGTTATAAAAAGAATTTCTTTTTTTGTATCTTCTACCCATAAACAGTGAGTTTATCTGAAATATCTTAAAATTTTGTAAATTTTCATTTCGTAACTCATTTTATCATAAGATCATTGAGAATAAAATATATCAGATCGAGAAGATTGTCTTTCTATTCTATGACATAATAAAAATCACAATATTGTAGTGATGAATAAATATAACAATAGATAAATATATATACCTAATTATCAATATTGTTTAAAGTTTATAATACATTATTTATTGAGGAAAAAAAAAGAACATAATCATAAAAAATTAAATATTTAATGCTCAAATATAGTTCAATAGTACAATTGCATGAGAATCTCTTTGTTTAATTAGTTTGATCAAATATTCATAGAACTAATCCGTTTTAGTTCTACTTTATTAAATATTCATTGCATATAGACACGTTTCTTTTTATAATATCTTCTAGATTTTTCCTATTGAACTATGAACTATGACATGTCAGAATATTAGATTTCTATTCATATTTTGAATAGCATCTAATAAAAACTAATCAAACATATTTCGTTTTCTGTCCAAACATAGATAATAAAAAACAAAAAGACAATTGTTTCGAACTAACTGTGAAAAAAAAAATATTGGTTTGATTAAATTGAAAACAAAAACAATTCAATATATTCTATATCAAACGATTCTAATATTTAGGAAAAAAGAAGGTTATTTTTATCCTTATGCATTTATTTGAAGGTTTTATTTATACAACTACGAAGAAAGAAAAACCTTTCAACTAAATCAAGGAAGATAATTTCTTTGTTTGTTTGGTTTTGATTGCTCGTAAAATAAACATTTCTATCGTAGATATTACTCAAAAGATATTATGTGAATGAAAGACGAGTCAAACTAATATAAATATATATATATATATTTTTTTTTTTCTTTTTTTGTCAGTGATGATCGATTGAATGCGAAAGAGTAATAGAATAAAAATGCATCTATCACTTTTAATCAGTTCCATGGTCATCGACTTTGCTAATCCATAAGTCCTTGGCTTTATATCTTTTCTCTTCTATCCGCCTTTTTCCTTTTCATGTCAACATTTTTTTTTTCAAAGCTGTTTCCGATCAGGTATACTGATGATAGTTTGTCGTAAACATTATAATCGAATAACAAACTTGAATTTTTCTATGAGCCAACATACAAAAAAAATAGAATTCCGTTAATTTTTGCAAATTTCGTTAGTTACTTGTTTAACTTCTCGTTCTTTTTTTTTTTTGCTTTTTTGTTATTAGGGAAGTTCTTATTTGCATAAACTAAAACTTTTCTTTCTCTATGAATTGTAGCTTGCGGCAAATCATACATTTCCTCATTTGGTCGTTCACATTATCTTACTAACTATATGAATCTAAAATTAGCGATTAATAGTACAATAGATAGGCTAATAGATAAATGGAAAATAAATGAATGGGAGTACAAAACAAAAACCTTGTTTTAACAGTGAAAAAAAAATGTAATGGTTCTAGTTACCATAAATAACTATCTAACATGCTCAATTACAGGCTTGTATAATTGAACATTTTTTTCTTTTCATCTTAGAATTTATAAACATCAAAATAATGAGTTTTGCTAATTATATTTATGATCCATAAATATAAAAACAAAGTATCTCTTTATTAGAAAGATTAAAGAATTGGCAAGTTGAAAGTCTTGTATATGCATGATCGACGCGAGTAAACTAAGAAGCAGATCAATAATGTAGAAGTCTAATATTGTTGGGGAATAGAGTCTCTCTACTTGATCATTCAATGTCTGGTGTGTGTGTTTTTTTACCAACTGAATGAGAGAGAGAAAAAAAAGAGATGCATTGTTTCCTTGCTACTAATATCTCTACATTACAAATTCAATATACGAGAAAGAGAGAAACAAGAGCAGACAAAAAGAGAGAGAAAGAGAGAGAGAGAGAACGTGAGAAAAAGAAGCAAAAAAGTCTAATGCTCTTCTTCATTCTTATGATTACTCCTTTCATTTAGTGTCGACTACGAACACAGACTCTCGTGATCTCTGCTCTGTCACCCTAACACATACATAGATCTATACCTACATCTATATATACATACACATATATATACATAATTCTCTCTTACACATTTCTAAACGCTTTACTTGAACTATTTCAATAATACAAACATTTATTCAAATGCTGCAATAATGACTTCAAGTAAGTTGATGTTATATATAATTCTATATACATGCAGAAATAACTTGTAAATCATTATTCGCTCGAAGGAAAATTTATTTAAGCTTATTGACATGCTGACATTTTTCACTTGTTGCACTTTCTTCCTTCTAGTCATCATTTAGATGCTTGGATAAATAGTAATTGATCTAGTCATCCATGTATACATATAAGATATTTCGATATATTTTTTTTACTTGTTCTAATAGGCATCATCATTATGCATTAGCAGAAATATGAGGAAATAAATAAGTCATGCAGGAAAGAAAAATAGTAATACAAAACCATAAAAGTGCGAAGTCTTTTGTAGAAGTAATAAAAAGAAAGATGAGAATGATGTCGGCAATAATAATAGCAAATGTAATATTTCGTTGTTGACAAAAGCTAAACTACTGTCAAATAATTATCTTCATTAAAAATAAACGATAAATGACATTTTTAATGATCAAAGCAATATATCATATCTTGAAAATGTAGGATAGACTTGATCCGAATAGGAGTATTTCGTTGCGTTATTGTTTAGGATGTATTATTTTGTTTTTGTTTAACCAAAGTTGGTTTATTTTTGACGGATAATAAAGATTCTATTAAATAGCCATCAGTCTTCTTAATCATTCAAACGTCTTAGTATTATCTTATAAAACTAATCAACATTTTATTATCATACTATTCTATTGGTCAATAAAAAAAATAAAAAAAAATAAAAAAATAAAAATAATTATGTTGATCTGTTATATAGATTACATTGTGAATGCATTGCAATGTTCTTTTAGTTCATTCGACTGTCGGATCGATTAACAATATATGTTCTCTAATATGTGTTGTTTTGCATCCAAACGATATTTTATCCTTTATATATGTGGGTGGAAATTATCGTTGATAAGAAAAACAAAAATTCATATCTACAAGCAATAAATTTTATTTGTAATTAATAGTGCAATATTAGCGATGATTGCTTTATCAGATTTTTCTTTTCTTGGAATGATTCTAAATCGAGAACATATATATATATATATTTCAAGATAAATATGTATATATTTCAACTATTAGGCACTAATCGATGTGTGTGATCATAGTTGTAATGAATGCATCCTCTTCTCTGTTTTTTTTTTGTTCTATCATCCGTCTTCTATTAAATTCAGAGCATACTTCAGTCAAATGCCACTTCCGTTTGACATCAACAATAATGAGACACTAGTTGTAGCAAAACAAAACTATTTTGATAAGTTAGGTTTTTATTCTTTTTTTTCAACATAAGTACGAATATGAAATTTGAAAACAAAGAAAATCTATTGAAAAAGAAGTTTTGTTTTTTCTTTTTTGCGCCAAAAGACCACAAATCTTCGTAAGATTATCTATTTTTCGCACGGTCTTTCGTCAAATAAATAAAGACACATATACACGCTCTGTTCATCGAGTCGTCTATAAATATGCATGCATGTTGTGATTTAGTCAGTTTCTATATATTGCGGGTGATTGGTTTTAAAGCGACGTCACTTCTCGACATACATCCTACTCATTCTTTTACGTCTTTGGAAAAAAAAAGAATAAGAAGAGAAAGAAAAACTAGCAACATAGTTCTAGATTTCTGTTGAAGAATAATTGTGATAGTTAGAGAAAGCATGCTTTGCTCACATATGCGCCGCACCATATATATATATATAGTTAACAATCAATAGAGTACTACTTGACTACACTTGTGAATGTCGGCGTGTTTAGAGCTAGTAACAAAAGCAATCGTTGGTTGCTCTTTAAAAGAAAAAAAAAAGAATGAGCTGCGAATAATGATGTTTGTACACGACAAAAACAGGAAATATGAGCATCCGTGTGTGTTTAACTAACGAAATATATTTACAGAAAATAAAATAAAATAAAATAAAATTGATTAACACAAATGATGGTACACAACTGTTAAGAATTCAGTCTACGTGTATAGAAGACAATAAAGCTGTATTTTTTTCTGAATAAATATTTTTAAAAAAATTTATAAGAATGTGCGTGATCATACACAATCGATCAATTTCATAGCTTCTTATTCAGTCTACCGTGTCTATATATATATATATATATAAATGATCGATTGAGTAGATAATGACTCTAGGGAAAATCAACATCAATATTTAAAAAAATAATTGATTTGATTGATCGAGTGAACATGACCTATTCTAATCTTCATACGAAAACAAAATTAAAAAAAAAAAAAGATTTTTTTTATTATTTCTTTTGTTTTTGAAGAATCATCTACCCGCTGCTTCACTCTTGGATATATTTGGCGAAATCGATTATTCTTTACCCAATCCTCATGGTTCTTCATCTCAAAATTTGCATCGGATTTTACCTGGCACATCAGCATTTGATACATCTCAACAACCTCATTCTCCACAAAATTTATATTGGCGTTATTATTCTATTGATTTACTTCATAATAATCTTAATATGATGCCATCATTTACAAATAACGATACAACATTTATTAATGCAAATCTTTCAACAAATATTTCCTTAAACTCCCGAGAGAAATTATCTTCAGATGATGAAGCACCTGATCATCTTCTTTATCTTATTATTCCACTGTATTCACTTGTTTTTGTTACTGGAACCATTGGTAATATTTTAGTTATATTAACTGTTGTCACAGTTAAACAAATGCGTAGTACAACAAATGCACTTATTTTACATCTTGCTATTGCAAATTTATCATTTATACTTATGTGTATACCACATACAATATATGTATATGTTGTTCATTCATATGATTTTCCAAGGCTTTTATGTAAACTAGCCAATACATTAATGTATTTAAGTGCATATGTTAGTATATATATTCTTGTTTTAATGTCAATTGATCGATTTCTCGGTGTTGTTTTCGCTGTTAAATCAACGAAATATCGCACTGAACGTAATGCACATTTGGCAGTTGTAGTCGTTTGGCTAGTTGGGATTATATTTGCTTCGCCTAATATGTAAGTAATCAAAAGAAAAAAAACATCACGTTCATTTTTTTTTTGTTATGTTCCTTTTGACATAATTAACTTCATTTAATAATCTATTGAAAATTATATATTCTTATTAAAGGATCTATTATGATGTATTACTTGTTGATTCAACAGGCGACGTTTGGGTATGTTTATTTCGTGGTGATAGTCCATTTTTAAATACGGCCAGACGTCTAACAGCTTATTGTTTTGTTTTATTTGGTTTAATTATTCCCTTAATAATCATTGCTATTCTTTATGGTCTTATTATAAAAGTTTTACGTCAAAATTCAAATGGTAAACAAGTAGCAAAAGGTAAAAAACGTGTAACAAAAATGATTTCAGCTGTTATATCATCATTTGTTATATGTTGGACACCAATGCAAATATATTTATTATATACACATCATAATCAAGTAACAGTATTATTTGCTATTGTTTCTCAAAGTCTTGTCTATATATCAGCATGTGTTAATCCAATATTATATGCTTTTTTATCTGAACCATTTCGTAAAACATTTCAACAATTTTTAACATGTTCAAAATTAATATCAAATCATTTTTTTTCACATCATGAAACTGAAACACATACAACACTTACAGGTTCATCCTATCGTGTTATACAAAGTCAATCAATAACAAAAACTTCACCATTGATGTTAAATAAGGATGTTAAAACAAAAAAAAAACTAATAAATAATCATCATTATAAAATGAATGATTTAAATCCTCAAACAATAACACCAACAAAAACATCTGAACCTATTAAATATAATCGATTATCAAATACAAATACTTCTACGTAGTAATAATTAATAAAAACAATATTAAACTTTTCTTAGCGGTGCTTTATTCTATAATTGTCTGTTTCATTTTTCGTTTATTTTTAATTCAGTATATATAATAAAGTTTAATCATATATTGTTAAAAATATGAATATTTCTAAAATAATGATGCTTCGAAAATTATAAATATTTTGCTAGGATTTAATTTTGAAAATGATTTTTTTATCGAAATTTATAAATGATATATTATATAACAAAAAGTTTACAGAAACCAAACACAATAACTCGAGACATTTTTCAAATAGAGATGTAGTGATGTGTTTACAGTATCTAAACTACACATTGCATACCAAATTCATTCAATATGGTTTATTTTTCCATTTCTTCCGTGACTGTTAGTGCTAATCAGATTTCAAATAGTAATTCAAATAGATAAAATTGTTTCCAAAAGGAATATAAGGTAATAAAAATGATTAGCAGTTTTTCAAAAATAAGAGCCTCACGACAGTAAAACCCTAGTTGTTCAACAATTAGAATGAGTAAATATGATTTTATTTAGATTACATAGAACAATAAAACAAAAAGTTCTTTACAAACCTGGATGGCTTCGAGTTTTCTGCAACATTTTCTAGCTCAGATATAGCAATTCTATGCAAGTCCCTAAAGTCATTTTCTTTACTATTTCGGATAGAAAAGTCATTTTTGGCGTTCAATTAAATTAATGTATCTCAGTTAGGAGACATCTCAAGGAACTCGAAAACATCTCATTTTGTAGACGACGGTCTCTATTGAGGCATTTTATGTAGTCTAAATAAAATTATATTCACACGTTCTATGTGATGAACAACTAAAGTTCTGACTTTCTTAAGCCTTTTCTTTTGAAAACTGTATAATAGTTTTTTTTTGCCTTCTATTCTTTTTGGAAATAGTTTTCTCTACTCGAACTATTATATGAAATGTTTCTAGCGCTTACGACAGTGGAAAGATATTGAAAATAAACCTTATTGAATAAATTGGATACTCACTGCATGTACATAAGTTTTTTGTTTATTAGATTCTATTGAAACCTTTTGCTTTTAATCTATGACTTGATAATAGATTTGCTTTTAGTATGACAAACAATATTCAGGTAACCTGAACATTTCCTTTTGATTTCCTCTTACAGAATATAATAGATGTTCTTCAGAAATTTTTATCATAGCTAAAGTGATTCATTAGCAGCTTTACGATAAAAAGTTTGACTACCTTCGCTAGACCTGTAACAATTTGTAAACGAGTAACAGTTCTGTTCTAGAATTTTGATATAATCATTTAGCCAAAAAGTATACGGTGCAAAGGCTGATGAAAACGGTGAATGCGACATTATATTGATAACTTCTTGTCTTAAATAATTAATAACATTTGGATGCGTACAAGATCGAGCATTGTCATGAAGTAATTTTATACTTTGTGCCCCTAATGACTTTCTTTATTTTCATATTACATTGACAACAGGCTTGAGTCAATTTTCGAAATAATAGTTACGTTCTAAAGTCTTACCTTTATTTACTCTATGTATATGGACAATACCATTTGATATGAAGAATTTTGCTAAATTTCGGGCAAAATAACTAGAATTTTGCCCGTATTTTTCCATTTTCTTTATAAGAAGTATATCTCCATGCAATAAGATTTTCGTGTTCGCAATCAACAGAAAAAATGAACTGCCTGACATTTGTTTCTAAAATTTTTGTTATTCTTCGTTTTTTTTGATGAAAATTTTAGTTACTACTACAAGTGACAACTGGAAAACACTGAAGTCGATGAAAATGACAAAAGTGTGTATCAATCGACTTAATTTTTTGATGCTGATTCCAAATATGATAATCTTATTGCATGACAGAATGGTTTGGATAAAGAAAATGGAAAATACAAGCAAAATTTAGCACTATTAGTACAATAAATTAAATGAAATAAAAAATTTATTATTATCACTCATACAAAAAATGCCTAGATAGATTTACAAAAACAGTCTATAAACATTTGAATAGAACAAATTTGGACTGTCAACATCAATAGAGTTTTATAATCAGATTCGATTTAATAGCTATTGTGTACTGAATTTTTGATGCTGAATTCGAAATCATAATTTGCAGAAATTCGACAAAAGACACAAAACAAAATTTGTTTTGCACAAAAAAAAGACTTCTTCCTAGTTGTTCATTTTTCTTCGACCTGAAAAAGGTATTTGCAAAAGCTAAAAATTACTTTTTTCCTAATCAGTAGATCAATTTCTATCAAATTATGTATAAAAAAAAGCCTTACTTGGATTTTGCATTGCGAGCACCTTAAAAAGTAGCTTGATAAAACTTCTCAAGCCCTTCGCGACGTAATAATCAATAGTAGACAACAGATATATGATAGTTAAGTAACATTTTATCATGTAATCAATTTATTATTGGATTTTAGTCGAATATGTTTTTGTTTTTCTCAATAGAAAATTTTATTGATCGATTTCGATAAATTGAACATTTGTTCTTCTATTTGTATGATTAATTCCAGAAGGCAAGATATTATCAATTATCGTGTCATTTGAAACATTGACACAAGTATTGATACCTTATATAAATACATTCGATTAGAGAACATTTCTTATCTGCTTATAAATTAACTTTTGTCAAGATTTATAATTTATGGAAAACCTATTAAATAATTCTTTGTATTTTATTCAAAAACAAAATGAACATAATAGTTTTCTTCTTCTTTAGATAACATATAGCAATGTGTTACAGCCAATATATTATTCAACGAATGTTCGATTACAATCGACTTCTCTGATTTGAAACAACATCAAAGTAAAAATCACGTCCATATATGCCAACAGCAGTGCGACTAGATTGTATCTTTCATTCATTTTTATCGAAAAACACGCAATTTATAGAAAAATATCGCTTGTCTGTTCTATTATTGATCGTTGACGATACATTAATACATAATTAAAAATAGTTAATAAAAATTTATTAAGAAAAAAGAAACAATAACGGTCGTAAATACTGAAATATTTATCTCAGTACAATGACTTTATTTCTCATTAATACAGATATAGGAATCACTGATATGTCCTATTCATTCTATTAAAAACATCAATCAAAAAGCGGCTATCATGAAAATAATTCTCAGATGATTTCACATTACATAGAAGCATGACAACAAAATCTTAACTATTTCATGTTTTCTTTTCTAACCATATGAGATATTTTTTTCAGAATCAATTAGCTCAAGAAAAAAAAGCACTTCTTTGATTGTATATATGATTATTTTCTCAATACTATGACTAACATTATTATCTGAGAAAAAAACAAAACAGAAAAAAGTTGAACTAATGAAATTAACTTTAATTCACTTTCTCTTAATTATTTGAAGTAGTAGTTGCAAAACATCGCATTAATCATATTATCTATTTGTTTTTGTAACAATTTATCTTTCATAGTCTGTAGGCTACTAAATCGATTGATTCAAAAAGCTTGTAATCTGTCGAAATTGACCTTTCGTTAGTGTTAAGCATATATCTCTAGTGAATATATATATATATATATGTACATGAATGAAATCGATCCTCTCACATCTATGACATATTATTCAAATTGAATTTCATATATCTATATATATCGTGTGTATAAATAAACTCAATGATATTCATACGTTTCAATTAGGTATATATATATTTAAAACTGTGACCTTTTTTTTTGTATTCTATTCATGTGGTTAGTAGCAGTTTTATTAGTCTAAATCTCAATGTTGCCGCCGATAATCGCTTAAGGGAAACAATATATTGTTGTTATTAGTATTCTAGTGCAATCAACAAAACACATGTAGAAGTGAAAGTAAGCTATTGTCTTCAATCGTTCAAATATACTTTAGTATTGAAAGGTGCCGAAAGTGGTCGCCGCCGACATTATCATCATCGTCATCGAGAAAATGAACAAAAAAAAACAGAGAACAGAGAAACGCTTTTGGTTAAGAGCGTGTGCCCTTCGATTATAACTAACACCACCTACTATTTGATATGTGTTTGATGTATGTCGTTTTTTTTCCCTATTAATGATCACTGTCGTTCAGACATCTGTTTTATAGACGAACGTTGCTTCTTCGTTATTATTGCATAAGATTGACGACAAGAAGCAGATGTGCGAAGACAAAAAAGAAACCTATAGAGGCGGAGTAAGCATGTGTTATCATTGAATAAAATGACATTTCGTATCCTGAACTACTACTACTATTCGTCTATACATGTGTTATTTCCTATTCATTCATTTATATGATCGTGCCGTGATAATTGTAATGTTTATATCTAATCAAATATCTATCATCTATTGTGGCTTTTCTTTTTTTTTTTTTTTATTTATCAGAAATTCTATTGTATGAGAAAATTTCTTTATTATAAATAAAGAAAAATAAAAGATGGAATAGATCTGTCAATCATCTATAATATGCATGCTTTATATATACTAGGCTAAGATTGAGAGATAAGAATGTAAAGAAACCTTGAGATAAAACAAAAGCTTAATTGTGAATCTGCTCTCTTTCTATCTGAACTAGAATGGATGAACATTTACAGATGTCTGTGCGTGTGTACACATCATGAACTCAAGAAGATAGAAATAACAAACTAAGCATGAGCGTACGCGTGTCATCACCAACAACACATGATTAAGAAAGTGAATTAATTTTCCCGTATATATATACAGACATGACCGTAAGTCGAAAAAAAATGGAAAGATTTGTGAAGCTTTCTCTCATTCACTTCTATCCAACTGAACAAGAGAGGAGGAGAGTAGGACATTAATGGATATCAATAAATGATGCCTAACAAGTAAATATATACTCTTGAATCCATATAATGAGTAGGTAACATACTTGAACATATTTCTTAATCTTAATGGTATCGTTTATAAAAATAAAGTATGTTCTTTTATTCTATATAAGTCTCATAGTTTCAATTGTCAACAAACAGGAAATATTTTGTTGACAAAGATTAACAA